TAGTAGGTTTGGATTATCTACATTCAGAATATAAAGAAAATGGAATCAAAGAAGTTCAATAAGAAGTAAAATAAGACAAGACTATCTTATCACACTTCTTTGATTCCATTTTATTATTATTCTGAAGCCTACTATAATCAATACCTTTGATCAATTTGATAATCAAAACCTACTATAAGACCATTAAAACTGTTCAAGTTGTATATTATTCATATATGATTATATATATATATATTAAAGTAATAACTAAAATAAAGTATGCCACTTTCATATCAAAAATTTACATTACATAAGCAGACTGCAGCTGCTTACATCATATTAAAAAGTAAATAAAATAATTCAATGTTATGTATTTTCTAACATTTTTGAAGTGCTTTGTTGTTATTATTACTTTTTTTTATGTAGCTAATAAACTCATTGGAAATTATGTTATTTTGATATCCTTTTATTGTTTTTTCTTGATAACCAAAAGTTCACTATATAATTTCTATCCAGTTATAATATTACTGTCAAAAGAAATTTTAAATCTGATATAATTTTTATATTCCTGGAAAGGCAAAATAAAGTATTAATAGCAATAATAATAAATAAAATATTACTTAATGGAAGTTGGCATTTTAAGAACAAATACAATAAAACAATTATGATGAATACTTTTCTGTCCTGAAAATATAATAAATTAAATCTAATTACAGCAAATTAATGAAATATATGAAAATAAATGAATATTTATTATAATTCAACGAAAAAAAATTTCAATTTTTACTTATAACTAAAATTTTAATATATAAAAATTTACATTCATTAAATTGAAAAACACCAATAAATTTAATCTTCTGAATAGCTATTTTTAATTTGCTATAAATTTTAAGAACTTATCGGACCACAGTTTTCAATGTACATATTGGTTTAATAAAATCTCAGTGAACTTTCCAATTGAAAACTGTGGTCTGATAATTCCTTAGAATTTATAGCAAATTAAAAATAGCTATTAAGATTATATAAAATATAGGACAAAAAGCAAATAATTATAACCAATACATTTATTTATTGAATATTTATACAATTTGCATTTAGAAACAAAAACTATACATTTTCTTTTTATTCTGAAAATTAATTTTACAATACAGAATTACAAAGATTATATTTTTAAAATTTTTAAGATGTAGGTTAAAAAATTATGCAATTTATACATAAATTGTTAATAAACAATAGTGATTGAATCCTGTATTACTTGAATTACAGCATGATGTATAGCAATGTAATAAATATAATTAATTTTATTATAAAATTCACTAATTATGAATAAAAATTTACTATACCATTTTTTAAATAAAAAATAAACTTCTAACATTAAAAAATATTGCAAATTCTATTTCTTGGTTTTTAAAAATTTACAAGTTTATTCTACAAACATACCTATATATATTTGTATAAACAACTTTACTTCAAAAAATTTTATATTAAATTTATTTCAGTTTAATGTGTAAAAAAATCTAATCTAATTTTAGCAGTATAATACAACAAAAATTAATACTATGTCATAAATTTATTCATTATCAATTTTTTTAGAAACTAGTACTTTATAGTTTAAGCATTGATTTGAAATTTTGAAATAATATCTTAAAATACATTTTAAGATAATTATAGCTTTTTAGAGTACAAAAGCATTTTTAGAATATATAAACCATGTTAATTTTAACACTACTAGTAATAAGTAAGAAAAATATATTCAGCATATCTATATTTTTAAAATAAGGTAAAAGATACTTCTGTTTTTTAAGTGATAGAAAAAGTTTAATTTCTATATACTGTACTGTACTGTACATATAGTTCAATGCTTATATTTTATTCTCTAGGAATTCTGAAATTTTGATTCATAAANCCCGTATAAGATCATTGATTATTCCGTTTTATATGAATTCCATGTTGTACGAGTCACTTAGATTTTACAAATACGTGTACCGGGCTGTGAACGGCTCACCTATTTGTAAAATTTAAGTGACTTGTACAACATGGAATTCATATAAAACGGAATAATCAATGATCTTATACGGGGGTCGACTGTACAACAAAAATTAATACTATGTCATAAATTTATTCATTATCAATTTTTTTAGAAACTAGTACTTTATAGTTTAAGCATTGATTTGAAATTTTGAAATAATATCTTAAAATACATTTTAAGATAATTATAGCTTTTTAGAGTACAAAAGCATTTTTAGAATATATAAACCATGTTAATTTTAACACTACTAGTAATAAGTAAGAAAAATATATTCAGCATATCTATATTTTTAAAATAAGGTAAAAGATACTTCTGTTTTTTAAGTGATAGAAAAAGTTTAATTTCTATATACTGTACTGTACTGTACATATAGTTCAATGCTTATATTTTATTCTCTAGGAATTCTGAAATTTTGATTCATAAAATTTCACTATAATCAAATCTGTCTCAATATTTTCCAACACCATAAAGTGCAGGCATTTCCAATTTATGAATGATTGCTATAACAAATGTGCATGACCAATCTTTCATCTATATATCAGTAGTATGGCCAATAGCTGAACACACAGATTGGTAGATTATACAAAAAATTGTAAACTGGGCCACTTTTGAGTCTCCAAAGGACAGATTTTACAACTTTGTTTTATCATTTGAATGACTTTTTGGACTACTGTTTTTTTCTAATAAATAGTTTAATGTATAGTAGTATGCATACTTATTGTTAATAAGCTTTTACCTATCAGTAGTTTCATTAAATTAAGACAATTAGTCTTTTAATTTTGTTTAATGTTTTTATTTTATTAAGTAATTAAAGGTATTTAACATAATGAACAACCTCTAGAAACAGATTAATTTGGAAAATTGACACAGCAAAATAACTAGCAGGAATGAAAAATAATTTAAGATATTTTATAATTAATATTTATAAAATTTTGTAAAAATGTAAATAAATTAAAATTTACTAGCTTAAATGAATTTGAAACCATAATAAATAAATGCATTGTTACACTAAACTGCACTTGTATCCTAGTTTTACCACTGAACTGAGTTTCATTTCATGTGAGAGTATTTAGTGCAGCAAATTGGAGAAAATGCTCTCAACAAGGCTGCTTGAAAGAGAAGATGATCTAAAAACATTAATGGCAATCACCTTAAATAGTCCATCAATTTTTCAGTTTTAAAATACATTCAAATTTTTCAATAGTTTTGTATGAAAAACAGAAAGTCAGAAATTATTATTTTTTCATTATTTTGTAACATTCTCATCTATTACACTTTAAGATTGTATTGTTGCAAGTAAGCAATCAGGATCAAATTCAATCATAAATATGTACAGTATTTGGTTATATAAAATCAAAAATTATCAGAAAACAACTTTTTTTAAAATTTGACTCTTAATTCTTTTACTTGACTCATATTCCTATGATCCACAAATCAAACTGATTCAGAAAATTTTTAGATTAAAAAATATTTTTAGCAAAGCCCCAAAGGCTTTGATAGACCTAAAAATATTCTTAGATTTTATTTATTGCTAAATTTTGCATATTTTACATGGGTGTAGATTAAACAATAAATCTACATGTACTGTACATATAAAATAGAAGTTAGCATAATGTACAGTACATCATACATAATTTATATTAAGTTCAATTCAAGACAAAATGACTATCTTTTCTTTCTGAATATTGTTTAAATAAAGTCAAAGAGTGTGTTTACAATAAATTTTCTTCTATTAAATCCTTTTAGTTTTTATAAGTCATTTTTTCTGTAGAATAAGCACAAAACAAATATCTATTTTTATTCTTTCAGTTAATGAAGTATAAAAGTTAATTATGATAATGAAATTGTATAAATAACTTTTCATAGAGAAATACCAAGCCTACATTACAGAAATAAATTGAATGATATCACAAGATTAATTATAGTGCTAGAACTTGGCTAATGAACTATATAAATATTATATACAGTAATTTGAACTAAAATGTAAGCAGTTAGGTTGCCATCTTGTATTTAATTTAATAATTAGAGTCCTGCTTCAGATCAATCTTTCCTTCTAGATAAGTCTAAAATTATTTATAATCAGCAACTCCTGCTTACAATGCATTTGCACAGTAAGCAAGAGTTTACCTATCTATTGGAAGCAAAATAATATCTAAATTATTGGATGTCACATTCCATTAAAATATTAATAATAATAAATATTAAATCATGAGTACTAGAATAAATTCACTATATCAGCTTATACTTATAACTGTTAAAACATTGCCTGAAAATAATTAGTTGATTAACTTATTTCCATTTGATTCTGAAAGCGAGTAATATGGTATATGTACATTTAAATTATTATTCTATGATCTATGAGTTTATTTCATCACTCAGCTAGAAATAGAATTAATCTGCTATTTGTTCACATTTTATAACAATGTAAACAAATATGACACATTTCATATGATTTGTATCTATAGAAGACTATTTGTAATTTGATTGTTTAAAGAAATATAGATAAAAATCTACTTTATCGTAAATGTTATGTAAACAAAATGGCTATCTTTTTGTTTTTAACCAAATCCCACATTGCACATCTATAATTTATATTAACATAATTTCCATTTGGACCTAAAGAAAATTTTAAAACAGTGCCCATAAGATAATTTCAGTAAACAAATAAGACAAATACAAATTATTGGTCAATTTCAATTATATTTATCTTATAATTATTATTGTTTTTTTAAAAAAAAAATGTCTTTTAATATGATGTTATCTAAAATTTTTACTACTTAAAAACATGAAACCAAACTTACAAAAGTATTATTAGGCTAGAAATTACTCTTAATATTTGTTAATAATTAGTAGATTATTTAAGAAATATTTAAGATTTTGAAAGAATATATTTGAATATTTAGTAAACATTTTCATAATTTTTTTTCTAGAAAAAAGTAATATTGAAGTAAAATAACAACAACAAAATAACATAACATTATATTGATGACTATATAATAAATATGCCTAAAAGAACATAATATTGTTGGTGATTAACAGCACATAAAAGAAACTATTTGAATATTTATTAAAACATGACTTTTTTAAATTGGTATAAAAATCTTTATTGGAAGCTGGATATTTCATAGTTATCAAACAGTAACTCAAAAGAAAACCATTATAATGATGTTAATATCAAAGTTCTTTTGAAAGAACTTGTACATCAGCATAAAATCTGATTTATAATTCAAGATTTTTTAATAAAAAAATATCTGTTTATAATTGCTTCTTTAAATATCATGTTTATCAAAAAACCTTCAACAAATGATCTTGATAATTTTCCATATTTGTTCATTCACAATTCACGATGATACTAAATTAAAAATAAAAAAAGTCATGTAAAATTTTGTTTTTAAAATCATACTTAAAATTTTTAATTAAAAAAAAAACAAAGACTAATTCCTTACTTAATAAAATTTCTTAAATAATTTTCCATTTAAGAAAAAACTGGAAAGTAATTATTAGTAATTAGTTTTAACAATTATTATAGAAATTAATGTCATACCTTATTTTTTTGCTGTTTCCTGAAAATGTAACTTTGGAAAATAAACATGGTTGATGTCAAAGGTTTATTAAGAAACTTCTAAAATTGCAACAATGATTTTGATGTAAAGATATATTCAAGCAATTCACTGGAAAGCAGATAAAAAATAAAAATCTAACACAACACATTACACACAATGCTTTAAAGGAAAATAGCAACACATCGCATATAAAAACAGATATATAGTAGGAAACTTATAAATTATAGATAAATGAAAGATAACATATAAAATTCTAAAATGCTAAAACTGGAAAAGAATTTATTGCAATTTTTTATAACAGACAATTTTATGATAATATTTCTAATAATTGCTACAACATTAATAAATAAAACAATAGGTTTATACAATAAACCTTTTGAAAACTTTTCCAGTTTAGCATAAATTAATAAAATCAACAGATATTGCTTTACAAACAAAAATTTTATATTTGTTCTCAAAATTAAAATTTTAAAAACTTCTGCTATGATAAATTTTCAATTATTTTGAAACTCTTCAGTTTGTTCAGAAAAATCTGTTGATCTCTATTCTAATAGTTTCAATACAAATTTACACTACCATTGCTAGCAGAAAGAGGACAATCCGATGACAAACTTTTGCCTGATCCAAGTGTACATGCTGAAAAAGAAGTCAGGAGAATGACTTTATCAGGAGAGGGTTCTTAATTGGTAAAGAAAGTGAGAAATATAAAGAATTAAATGAAATTAACGTGAATTTAGCAAACAATTATAGGCAACAGATGCAGGAAACATGCAACATCAAGCAACAATTCAACAATAATTATTAACATGCAAATCAATTATTAATTCATATTTATATCAATACTTAACAACTATTATGCTAATTAATTATATATAAATATAAATTCTAATTCTTGATACAGAAGCAATACATAATTTGGAATATATGGTTTTCAAATATTATGCAAGTTTTTTTTTTCATTTATTAGAATAAATCCTAAAATCATAAATATTAAATTTAATATAATTATAAATTAAAATAGTTTTAATTTTCAAAATCAAAAATCCTTAATATAACTGCTGTTGATATAAATAATAATAATTCTTATTAAAAACAACCAAGTATTTACATAGCTGTAAATGTCTTTACAGTAAATGATATCATCAATATAATTTAATAAACATGATTTTAATATTAAAAACTTCATTAATTGCAATTAAAGTTTGCTAGTTTTCAATAGTTGCATATTTTTCATAAAAAATTTTTGGACATAGTAGAGCGGTTGAAGCGAAAGTATTCATCTCTAAAACACAAACATTGAGCACCGCCATCTTGTAAGCCTAGAAGTTTGACAACGGTATTTGGAATGTCATTGGAATCATGCTCAACGTTCCAAACTTCACTGTCAAACTTCTAGGCTTACAAGATGGCGACGCTCAACGTTCGCGTTTTAGAGATGAAAACTTTGACTGCAACCTCTCTATTCATTATAGATTTTAAATACTGTACTGAAGTTTCTTAAATTAAAGGAATTAAATTATGTATTGATTCTTTACATTCTACATTTTTTCCCCCCAAAGCATTACTACTGTTATTTTTAGTTTAATAATTCACACTAAAAATTTCATTTATTTTTTCTTTTGAAAACTCAATCCAGCTTCCAATTAGAAATGGAGGCCAGAACAGTCAGAATTTCATGCAATTTTTTAAATACTATTATATACTTAGAGTATTTATCTATAATTGAAAATTCTATATAATATTACATTTAAATTAAACTTTTTAAACCTTATCAACTGTATAATTTTGCACATTTATGAAACTTGAAAGAATTCACACACTAAACAATTATACATTTCACACCAAATGTACACATTATTTTTTTTATTTTAAGAAAAAGGTACACACTACTATTGGAAACAGGTCATCTTTAAACATCCTATGTTCTCTGTCTTACCAAACAGGTAAGAAATGTGTAGAAACCTTGCAGCTATAGTATAAGATGTACCATAATTCCACCATCAGCAAGCCTGTTTAAGAATGTCAGCTCATTTAGTAATAGAAAATAGTTTTAAGGTTTCTGGTGATGAATTTCCCACTGTAATCAGAAATAATGCTGGCAAAATTCAAAATTGCTATATTAAAAGTGGAACTGGATTAGAAGACATTGACAATAGAAATTATCATTATGTATATCATAACAATAATTTCAATCATGTTATTTTTTTGTAATGTCTCTAAATAAATGAATATGCATACATTAAAAAAATTAAATGTACAAATTATCCTTGCCACACTATTTTATTTACAGGTTTAGATCACCTGATAATTTACAATAAACACTCAAACTTCTATTCAAAATTAATATTCTTCACAGATTTTGTTTAAAAATATGTTTTTAAATGTTATTGATGTTTGGCACATTATCTGATTTTCGCGTCATTTGGATTCATACCACACTAGTAGCTACAGTATGCTTGGGCATCTTTTCACAAGATAGTACTCTGCCAAGACATGTGTCAAAAAGAAACTGTGTGGGACATATCATTTTACATTTTAAAATGAAAAAGATTTGAGGCTTCATAATGTGTGTGTGAATTACACTCACTGTCTTTGTATTTTGGACACTGGATAACTCAAAACTATCCATTTTTTGCTTTTTTGCCTATGAAGATGTTTGATTAAGACCACTAGAACTACAAAATATTGAAGATTTAACCAAATCCACTATGATTCATTTCTCATAAAATTTGTGCAGTGTAAGGTTTGTGCTGTTTGAAATATTCTCTAAGCACAAAGTGAATCAAGAATTCATAGATTGAAAATGCTTTACTTATACTTTATTTTCATTATGTAATCTCAAATATAACACTGAAGTTAAGAGCAGCATTGGTAATAATAGTAGTAGTGAGAAGGAATATTTTTGAAGTAACGCTTTAAAGTAATTTTTGAAGGAATGCTTTGAAGTAATATTTTTATAGTTATATAAAAGAAAAAATTTTAAAAATACTTTCCTAAAAGCAATCATGACTTTAGACAAATTGCATTTGCTATTCAGAATATTAGATTAGAGAATTTCATACTTCAATTAAATATTGTGAATGAAACTAAGAAAGATGCAAGAATGTGCTTTATATTGTTAAAATAATGTAAAAAACAAACTAGCTTATATTTCAATTGAAACTTAATTTCAGTTACTTGTGGAATATTTCAGACTAATTATCTAATTGTGAATAAAGAACTGCTTTGATTAAAATGACTATTATTCTATATTCCTTATAATCAAACTAACTAAACTAAATTTAACTAAAAAAGAAAATTAATAAAAATAATCATTAGAAATAAAAAATAGGCCATTTTTCATAAAACTCAAATCTGTCTATTACATGTCTGTTAATTTAAAGAACAATGAAGACTACTAACAGCTTAAAAATGGAAAAATAAAACTCTAATCCAAAAAGTTTAAGAAAATCAAGAATATAAATCAGACTTAAACTTGGATTTGTCATGAGTACAGAAAAATCCATTAAAATGCAGTATAGAATTTTTAGACACATTCTATTTACTGTGTGCAAAAATTGTATTGTATGTAAAATTAGTTTGGAGATTTTTATTATTTTAACTAAGATAGTACAACTATTGATACTAGTAATATATATATATATATATATATTAAACCAGATATTAACAAATAAAACATTTGATTGTGTATTAAACAAGTTTAGCATTAAAAAAGTAACATTTTATTATCTAAACTGAAATTAAAAATTTTTGATAATGGTGAATATACAACAACAAGAAAGTAAATTTGTGTGTCTTATTAATAAATATTTTATCAATGTCATTAATACAATATCTAATCATGATGGAAGCATATTCATCAGAATTATAGATTGTGTGCAAAACTAGAACACAATATTTCTTTTCTTTTCCTTAAATTAATTCTGAAAATAATCATAAGAATTCAAAACTACAGATTTTCAATATTTTAAAATAATAATACTCTCTCTTTTAATTTTGTAATTATGACATGGTATACAGTATTTGGAAACAAATTAAAACTATGTGATATTAGAAGAAAGCAACACGAACATTATAAAGCTTTAGGAGTCAAAACTTGACCTGGAAATGTTTTTCCAATAAAGTGTCCAACCTATTGGCTCAAAACTCTTATAATTTCTGATATTTAGAGTTATTAAATAAGATAATATTCTTATTCTGGGAAATTATAATATAATTTAGACTGATGCAAAAGAATTAATACAACTGATAAATTGAAAAAGAACATAATTCCAGTAATATATTAAATATGCATATAAAACTGATAATTTTTCCATTTTAAATGATAACACAATTATACTATAGTAAATTAGATGAAAACACAGCACTTTTAGAAGCCAAATGTGACTTCTAAAAATGTTAAGCATTTTATGTTATTTGTATAAGCATTTTATGTTATTGCCCATAAAATTAACAGTTAACACACTATTGATGTAAAAAATAAATTATTGTTTTTAACTAGATTACATAATTTTTATCTGTTACAAAGAAACAAAAAAAAATCAGTTGAAAAATTTTTGATCAAATATTACCATTAATCAATTTTGAGATCCAAATTAAACTATAATTACAGTAGAGCATCGATTATCCAACTCAATTGGGGACTGGGGTTGATCAGATAACTGAAAAAATGGATAATCGAAAAAATGTAAAAATACATTATTAGTATAGTATATTAGTATATCTCATGTAATTAGTATATTAGTACAGTAGAACCTCAATTATCCGGATTTTCGATTATCTGGATTGTTCAAAATAAACAAAAATTTTACAAATTTGCTGATTTGCACTTGGCAAATTACGATACTGTTTATATACATGATGGAATGCATAACTTTTTTTGTTTCTACAACGTCTCTCCCGGCACAGTGGCCGTAAACTCTTAAATATATTTTGTGTCATAATAAAAATATAACTTGACATACGTATTTATAAATAATTTATATTCAAATTACATCATTTCTACGACCAAGGACGGCATAAGGCTGGGCAACGTGGGCCACCGTCTATGCCTGGCGGTCTGAAGGGCCTCGCGTTTCGAAGGTTTATGAATTACTTAAAAGCCACAAATGCGATGAAAAAATTTTATTCGTCATAAAACGATAAATAGTTTGTCAAACTTTTTATTCATAAAAATGCAGTTTCGACTGCTTTTTATTTTATAAAATCCGTCTTCTTGCACTACCAGAGGGCGTTTTAAACAATAGGTAGTCTGTTAGCATTGGTCAGTAGTAGTCCAAATTCAATACTAATGTTTGTTTCTTGAAAATTTGATCACGGTTTAAATACAGTATTTACTTTTAATATTATTGATATGTCATCGAAAAGAAAATGTGTTGTATTATCATTAAAAGACAAATTAAAGTATTTTTTTCGATTATCCAAATTTTTCCTTATCCGGACTACCTTCATCCCCAATTAGTCCGGATAATCGAGGTTCTACTGTATATCACTATTAACCTACTTCGCGTTGAATTTTCATCGATGTTAAGCCTAACAAAAAGTTTTTTAAAATAATAATTGTTGCTATTGTATTGTTAAAAATTAGAAAATTAAGACTCCTTTAAATACTGGCTCCCTTTCATGGTCGAGCCATG